GAGAGAGAGAGAGAGAGAGAGAAAGAAAAAAAGAGAGAGAATGGGGAGGCAGAAACACGAACCCAGGAAAAGAAGGAAGATTAAATAAAAGAGGAAGTGTAAAGAGAGAAGCAATAACCAAACAGAAAGGAGGAAAATAAACAAAATTCACCACAAAACGACCCCACAAACCCACACATCCTTCTCCTCTTCTCCCTCCCCATCTTTCATCTCCTGCTATTCCTCATTCTCCCCGCACCCTTCCTTCGCCTTCTCCTCCTCATCATCATCATCGTCATCATCATCATCATCGTCATCATCATCATCATCGGCATTATCATCATCACCCCTTTTCCTCCTCATCACCCCCTTCTCCTTATCCTCATCTTCGCTGTCCTCCAGTTTTTCCTCTCCTCCTCTTCCTCCACTTTTTCTTCCTCGTCCCCCTCTACCTCCCCCTCCTCTTCCCTTTTCCTCATCTCTTCCCCCTTACCCTTCCCCGCTTCCTTTTCTTTTCCCTCCACCATCCTTTCTCCTCCTCCTCGCCCCCCTTTCTTTCTCTTCCACTTTCTCCTCCCCACCTCCTTCTCTTCTTTCCCCTCCCCACCATTCCTCCTCCTCCTCCATCCTTCCTCTTCCTCCTCCTCCTCCCTCCTTCCTCTTCCTCCTCCTCCTCCTTCCTTCCTCCTCCTCCTCCTTCCTTCCTCCTCCTCCTCCTTCCTTCCTCCTCCTCCTCCTTCCTTCCTCCTCCTCCTCCTTCCTTCCTCCTCCTCCTCCCTCCTTCCTCTTCCTCCTCCTCCTCCTCCCTCCTTCCTCTTCCTCCTCCCTCTCTCCATCGACCCCGCCCTCCTTCGGCGCCTTCTGCAGGAGAGGAGGAGACGCGCTGGTGCTACGAGTGCGGGACGGGCGTGGTGGGGGAGCCAGACTGCGTGGAGTTTATGGCGGCGGGAACGTGGACGGCGTTCTGGAGGCAGTGCGCGGGGGACGCCCTCTGCGTGAAGACTGTTCCCGGATGGAACACGACGGACGGTGAGTTGGCGGGAGGAAAGGGGGCGGGGCGAGGGGGCACGGGTGTAAAAGTTTGTTTTGTGTGTGTGTGTGTGTGTATTTGTTTTAGTTTCTGTTGGTTGGTTTGTCTTTTTGTGTTTTCTCTCTCTCTTTCTGTCTCTCTCTCTCTCTCTCCTCTCTCTCTCTCTCTCTCCTCTCTCTCTCTCTCTCTCTCTCTCTTCTCTCTCCCTCCCTCCCTATTGAAGGGGTCACGTGTGTAAAACGGATATTCATTACTTGTTTTCTCCTTTTCCTACTGTCCTACATTTTCTGCTTTATTCTCATTGAATATTCTTATCCGATATATTTCTTGGAAGTTGCAATAATTTTACTTCTTTAATTTGCATGGTACGTAATGGGAACTTATGAAAATATTTGAACTCCTTTTCTCATCATTATAATATTTAAGATTTCCAGTATTTTAATATATTTCTTCTAATCATGATATATATTACTTCCCATTCGAATGATTATTAACCCTTTTCAAAAAACATAACTAAGATACTTCTACATCAAACTCTTACATATCATAGAATTATAAACAAATATTTATACATTTCTACTCATACATTCTGAGATTTGTGTTCTCGCCTAACAACCAGTTGGCTCATTAACTGCCCAATTTACTAATTAGTCAGTTATCCGATAAGCGTTATCTACCATCCCTCAACAGTTGTTATGTCAATTAGCCATTTATCTCCCAATTATATGATTATTTCTTTAACAAATGGTAATTGACGCTCTTCATGTTTTATCCGGCCGGTCCGCTTGGATATACTCTTCCTAATCCACTTTTGGATTGTGTGAAGTTGATCCACTTTCTGATCTTTTAGTGAATCCACTTTCGGATTTTTTTATTAATTAAATTTCGGATATTTTGATTAATCCATTTTCGGATTTTTAAATTTATCCACTTTTTGTTTTTTATTAATCCACTTTTGGATCTTTTAATTGATCCTCTTTCGGAATTTTTAATTAATCCACGTTCGGATTTATTCTCTTAATCCACGTAAGTCTTTCCTACCTGAACCACTTTTGAATATTCCACCAAATCCACCCATTTACATCCGGCTTAATGTATGAATAGATGACTACCTAATCCCCTAACCCACCTATTGATATCCAAATCCACCTCCCTTAACCACACCTCTAATCCACCCCGCCATCCACCTTAATCCACCCGCCACCCACTTTGACCCCCCGTCTCCCTCCGCGCAGAGAGCCGCCATCCCCCTTAACCCAACCTCAATCCACCCGCCATCACCTGTCTCCACCTCAATCCACCCGCCACCCACTTTAACCCCCCCCCCTTAACCCACCTTAACCACCTTCATCCACCCGCCATCCCCCTCAATCCCCCCGCCACCCACTCTAACCCCCCCGTCTCCCCCGCCCAGAGAGCCGGGCGGTGCGCGGCTGCACGCCCCAGCGCAGTCTCCGAGGCAGCAGACACCAGGACGGCTGCTGGACCCACCCGATCTCGTCGTTCCTTCACCTGCTACTGCTCCACGGACCTCTGCAACGCCGCCCACGCCCCCACGCCCACGCTGGCGCTCGTGGCTTGGGTTGGTCGGGTTTACGCGGTGGTGGTGGGCGGGTGATGCGGAAGCGGGTGTGGGGTGGGTGGGTTTGGTAGGAGGAGGGAAAGGGGAGGGAGGGGAGGAAGGGGTAGGGTGGAGGGGAGGATTGGATAGGAAGGGGGTAGGGTGGGTGAAGGGAGCGAGAAGGGAGGAGGAAGGGGAGGGAGAAAGGGTGGAAGGAGTGGGGGAAGAAGGAGGAAATGGGAGAGAAGATTAGTGGGAGGAAAGAAGGGAGAAAGGAGAGAAAAAATAGGGGAGAGAGAAAGGAGGAAGTGTGGGAAGAAGAATGAGCAAGAGAGAGGAAAAGAAGGGGAAGGAGGAGGGAGAGAAAGGAGGATACAGAGGATGATAGAGAGGGGAAAGAAGAAAGAAGGAAAAGGCGAAGAGAGAGAGGGAGAGGGAGATAGAACTGATAGACAGAAGAAGAAGAAAAAAAAGAAGAGACAAGAGAGAGAAGAAAGAAAACGTGAGAAAGAGGGAAACAGAGAAAATTAGAGAAGGCGAAGCCACGAGTGAAGGAAAGAAACACAGAAAAGGACAAGAGAATAAAGAAAGGGAAGAGAAGTGAGATAGACTAGCGAGGTTACTCATTGTGAGGAAATATGAATATTGTGAGTGAGATGAGAACATTTTTCCTCATGGATCGACTTCCGGTGTTGATAAATTTTCAGTATTTTCATTATTATTCTCATTTAATTTACTTATATTTCTCTTAGTTCTGTTCTTTCATGTTTTTGTTCTCATACTAAATGATTAAAAAAACTATTATAAACAAATATTGATAATCTTTCAGTATTTTCATTATTATTCTCATTTAATTTACTTATATTTCTTTTAGTTCTGTTCTTTCATGTTTTTCTCACAATAAATGATAAAAAAAAACTTTAATATTAAAGTGCCAAATATTTACAAATGTATGTCCGTTAAATGTATGTATTAATATATATATATATAATAAATATACTTTTCCTTCTCATACATATATATACTCATTTCTCTTGTTTAAAAACGCATCCGAAATTATTATAAAACTGTAAATCAAAAAGGTTGAATTTTGTTTACGCTAGTCACGTGTTTTTTTGTTCGCTATAATATTTACTGAAGATTCTTATGTCTGTCAATTATCTCAAAGATAAAGATTAATATTCTTTTTTAAAATTGTATCACTAGTCAATAAAATAAGATATGACTGACCTTATAAATGTTTCTTTACCTTCTTGTTAATTTTAAATCACATTAGGGAAATTAATTAATTATTTTAAAAACTAATAAAAACAAATATTGACATATCGAAACCTTCCTTCACATCCATTCCAGACACCTGATCGAGGCCTATAAGTCAAATTTTGTTATTTTCTCGATACTCCACAGCTGATAAAGAATAAATAGCGTAAAAGATATATATCTTTTCTTATAAAGAATAAGTCAAAGCAGAAAATATATAACTTGCAGAGAGACTTTACTCCTTCATCACATCCAGTCAAGACGGACCCGTTCGTTCACATCTCTCAACACAGCCTTTGTTTATACTGCCTCAGCCAACTTTCTCTTTTTTTTCTTCTGGTATCGTGTGTTTATTTATACCTTGGTAACCTTGACCGATTTGTAAACGTGAAGGTTAAGGCGAGTTTTATGTGTTTTTTTTTAGTGTTTGTGTTGTACATTATTCATTTTAAGAATTACCATGACTTGAGACGGATTACATAAATGACTATTGGCTTTTTTTTTTTTTTTTTTTTTTTGTACGACGTTCGACCGATGATATTCATTTTACTGGCATGTATATACGCAGAAATAAACACACACACACACACACACACACACACACGAACACACACACACACACACACACACACACACACACACACACACACACACACACACACACACACACACACACACACACACACACACACACAGTCTAGATATGCATATCTATCAGACAAATAGTTCATGAATATCTATTTATCAGATAGATAGACAGACATTTATTTCTGTGTTTATGTAGGTCTATGTCCGTATAAGTGAATATTATTGTGTCGGGTTTCGCCAATCTGAAGGTCCCATCCAATAAAGACAATTAATTTTAGAGATTCAAATTAACCGGTTAACATTAACTTTCCCAGTTTCGTTTTTGTTTGTTTGTTGTTTGTTTGTTTGTTTTTTTAGTTTTCAAGTTAATTGTTCATATCAAATACTCCCCACACCATCTATATGTGGAAGTCCCCCCCCTCCCGTCCCCCACTCGAAACCTCTTGCCGTAATTTTTTCTCCCTCTCTCTCTCCTTCTTCTCTCTCTTCTCTTTTCCTTTCCCTTCTCCCTTTTCTCCATCTTTCTTTTACTTCTTTTCAGCTTTCTCTCCTCACTCTTTTTCATTCTCTTTCTCTTCCGCTTCTCCTTTCCCTTCCTCCTTTTTAATCTTTCTTGTTCTCTTTTCCAACTCTGTCTCTTTCTCTCTTTCTCTTTCCATCCCTTCTCTCCCTTTCCTTCTCTTTCTCTTCCCCTTCCCCTTCCCCTTCCTTACCCCTTCTTTCTCTATCCTTTTATCCTCGTCTTCATCCTCCATATTTGTTTTTTTCGGCTTTCTCTTATTTTACCTTCGTCTTCCTACTTATTCCTCTTCCCTTTTCTTTCCTCTTGACTGTTCTTTCTTTTTTCGTTTCTCCTCATTCCTCGTTCTGCACCCTTCTCTCTCCCTTCCTCGTCTCTCCTCCGTACCCTCCCTCTTTTCTCCCTTTCCTTCTCCCTCTCTCCCTCCTTCCCTCATTCACAAAAAAGTGACAGAAGGGCGAGTTTCCACAAACACTCCAGCTCATCATCTCGTTTCTCTTTCTCCCTCTTCTCTATCTTTATCTACCTTTATCTCTCACTCATCTCGCCCTCTCTCTCCTCTCTCTTTCTCTCTCTTTCACACATAAACTCTCTCTTTATCCCCTCACTCCCTCCCATCTCTCGCCTCTCCCTCCCTTCCTCCTCTTCTCTCTCTCCTTCCCTCCCCTCCCTCCCTCCTCCCTCCCCTCCCTCCCATCTCTCTCCCTCCCTCCCTCCCTCCCTCCCTCTC